ATGAATGAATGAATGAATGAATGAATGAATGAATGAATGAATGAATGAATAAAAAATACTGCTGCAACATATTCTACTTAAAATATTGAAAATCCAAATTCATTAAGTGAATTTTCTAACTGGACTTGCCAACTGTAAGAACGTCTCCTGATTTAAAGCACTTCTCATACAAGCGAGCAAAGCGTAAGTTTCAATTCTGTGTCAGTTCAGGCCCTTCTTCTCTTAAGCATTTTCCTTTCATCCATCCCCGAAATCCCCTTTGTATATGTTTAGACTCTCTTTTCCTCAACACCAACATGAAATCATTACCAAATAATTTCTCTTCTTCCCTCCCCTGCTTGTGCATTGTGATACCTCAGCTTCTATGCTTTTGATCAATGCCTTAATTCTATTTGGTTCCACTCAGACTTCACCCCCTCCTCCTGTCTTTATGCTGAATTTCAGATTTTGCACAAGCTTCTCCCACTCATCCTCAGCAATCCTTCTGGTCACTTTCCATGGCCGCCTTGAGGTTTTGAGCACCGATCGCCTTGTTATCTGCACACTTTAGTTTTCTTTGATGGAACTATTTTCATCATTGATGTATGAAAAGAAAGCCTCTTCAGTTCACTCAGCAACATCTGTTGGACCTTTAATCCATCCATCACATTACCTCAGCCACAAATCAACATTCTTAGCAGATTCCTCTGCCTCATTCTGACCTCCTTCCCTCTCAGTCAATCATTCACCATTTCCTACCCCTAATTTTCCCATGTTAAAGCTCCCATTTTGCTCCCAATACATGACTCGCATTTGTTCATGATATAGCATTCTTATTTATTCCAAGTCAGATAGTCTATCAATCAATCTCAAAATAACTGTAGCACAAATAGCTTACCCACTCAGATGTGGTTTGACCATATGAAGCACCACTTATGATTTACTCTCCTCACAATTTCTAGAAACATCCTTCGAAGGCAGGTGTAAACCCCAAAACTGGCACATCACTTGCTTAAAACCTTCAGCCACACTCAAAGGTCAACCAAAATCAAGTTCTATGATTCTTCAATCTCTAGAAATTGAGATCAGTTGGTCAACTATCTCTTTTATTCCTCCCACCCCAACAAGCTGCCCTTTTCAGGGCATTTGTCACCTATTTCTCTTGCACTTCCCAAGTTTTCCAAATTTAAATTGCAAATTAAAAATTCACTTCAATAGTTGTTGAGATTTTGGACAATATGCTTATGAATAAACCCACTCAGCAGCAACATTAAAGTAGTATACAGCTTGCTCCATGCATGCATTTCAAAATTAACCCTACTTAAAAAGGTTTAAATATATGTGAAGCCAAAACTTGGGTGCAGCAATATACTTATTATCAACATGCTATGTCATGAATGCAGTATTGTGGAGCTAATGGGGAAGTGGAATGGGAACCTATACAGGCAGACTGAAGAGAAGGAAACATGAACAAAAACAAAAAACAGATGAGAAGACAGAATATTCAAGGGCATGTATCAAGGCCACAGTGCAAAACAACGCAAACAGGACAAAGTGCGCTAAAAAGACAAATATTAAGACCTTGTGTTTTAATGCATGAAGCATTCACAATAAAGTGGATGAATTGGTCATGCAAATAGATATAAACAGGTATGATGCAGCTGTGACTATGGAGATGTGGCTGCAAGTGACCTGGGATGGGACTGAACATTCAACAGCATTAACAATGTTTATTAAGGGCAGACAAATAGGAAAAAGGAAGGGTGAGCATTGCTCATTTTTAAGAGGGAATTAACTCAATGCTGAGGAAGGATTTTAGTTCCGATGAAATGCAATCTGTACAGGTAGAGCTCAGAAACACCAAGGGGCAGAAAACAGTTGCATGTAGATCCACAAACTGTACTGTGGTGATGTTGGGAAAGGCATTAAACAGGAAATTAGAGATGTAAGCAATAAAAGGTACAGCTGTATTTATGGGCAACTTTCATCTGTATACAGATTGTGGTATTGTTACCGAATTCATTAGCCCAGATTAGGAATTCCTGAAGAAGATGGGATTAAAGACCAATAAATCCACATGGGGCCCAGAGATCTACATCCCAGACCACTTTAGGAAGTGGCACAAGAAATTGTCCATGCATGGACAATAATCTTTTAAGATTCTATAGACTCCGGAACAGTTCCTCTAATTTGGAGGGTAGATAATGTAATCCCACTATTTAAATAGAGAAAAAAAGGGAAT